GTCTGGTTCCATGCACTAGAAGAGTTGCAGACTACGTCACAACATACTGGGTTGAAGGCAACAGGCAGCTATGGAACCATTACCAAACCGAAGGACCGAGGACGACAAATCACTTAGAAGGATGGCACAGCGGCTTGAAGAAGATGACCCAAGTGCCACACCCAAACATCTATACGCTACTGAACTACCTTAAAGAAGAGCAAGCAGCAAAAAGTAAAATAACAAAAATACCGAACTCCTAGGAAAATCCAAAACGAAAAGTCCGTAATCAAACGAAGTAACTAGTATCCAGTACCATGCCGGGGGAGTACGACCAACAAAGAGAAGGAAATACACCCAACTCATTCAACGCCTGCAGGAACTTAAAGATCAATTTCAGAATGGTGAAGTTACTGTGTTTCAGTATGCTGACATTGCCTCTTATTTCTCCCACTCGGACTAAATTTGTTGAAATCATATGATATGTTGTGATGTTTATGTTATGCGTTATGCGCGCTTTATTGGTGTACTTATTTATTATGTGTGCTTTGTTGTTGTTACGTACTTGTGTATTATGTGTGCTTTATTGTTGTATCTTCTGCATTACATATAAATATTATTTTGTGTTTGTATTTCATTCATATTTTATAAGTTACAATGATTACATGTAGTTACCTGTAATTGCCTGCTGCACACTATATAAACAAATTAATCACTATCAAAACATTTCCCGATTGTCCCACAATTAAACTTTCCAATTGTCCCACAAACATCTTCCCGATTGTCCCACAAAATTTCATTACCTTTTAACCTGTTATTTCAAAAAGTGGGACAATCGGGAAGACACCATTCAAACGTGTTGTCGACCTATATTACAAGTGATGTTTGTAACTGGACGTTATGCATCATTCAATCCACCAATTAATCAATCAATCAATTATTTATAAAATTGAACTTTACAGGAAAACGCTTTATTAACAGAATTTCATATATAAGGTCAAATAAAATATTTGGTATCTAGGCTTGCGGTCATACAAATTTCGAATACGATTATCGTACTCAGACTAAAAAAATCAGCCAATCAAAATACTGGATTCGATGTGTATGTAAATTTTGTTCTCCGAGTACCAAGTAAAGTTTTGTGACTGAGAGCCCTGATCAAAAACATAAGTAGCAACGGGATTTCAAAACAAAATTGAACATTGTGACGTTCATCTTGATTGATGTTCATTTTAAAAAATACTCATCCAGTTGCAATCAAACATGTGGAACAAAGTAAAATATATATATAAGACATTATCATGTTTATGCGACGGGTTAAGCCATTTGCCCCCCCCCTCCCCTTTCGGGGGGGGGGGGGGGGTTCAATAGTTTAATTAAACCTTACATATGCTAAAAGATACATGTTTACCAAAAGGGATAAAATAAATGTGTAATATCTGCCATTTTAAAACATTGACCCATACATTTTTAGTACATATAATGGAGGCAGCTTGGAGTTCCAGATGACTTGTGCAAACTCAGTTAAGGAATGTGGTTCCGGTAAATTATTATGAAAGGTATTTCGTTAATGCAAACTACTTAAATCTTTTATTAAATTCTTCCATAAATACCAATATTTGGATTTGAAGTGTGACTGTACCTGTAGAAAACTTATTTAAAGCTTTTACCTATTGGTATACATATTGATTTTGCTATCAGTAAATTTAAATCAAGTTAATTATTATTGCTATATACTTTGCACATTCATATGACTCTACAATCTGTTGAAACCTGTATTCTGACATTGCACAAGGTCATGTTTTTCTCTGAATGTTGATTACTTCTTTACACTAAATTTATTGGATGTTGGTTTGTACTGATTGATATACTAGTATGAGTCTTTGATGTATGATTTATTTCATTAGTTGTTATTGGATCTCAGATACTCTTAGATCTGTAATTGTTGTCTTTTTTGTTGTTAGGGTGTATGAATACACTGCCACGTCCGGTCTGTGATTTTGTAAGATGTTTTTTCTGCTTTGTATCGATCTGATGAGTTAACCCCTTTTTAAATGATTATTACAATTTGTTCCTCATGTTTTATTGTTACACCACTGTCCCAGGCTAAGGGATGCTTTTTTGTGTGTGCCTGTCCCAAGTCAGGATACTGTAGTTCAGTGGTTGTCGTTTGTTACTGGATATCATATTTGTTTTTCGTTCATTGTTATTTACATAAATCAGGCCGTTAGTTTTCTCGTTTGAATTGTTTTATATTTGTTATTTTGGGGCGTCACAGTATTGTTTTGTAAAACCATTGTTCAAAATCAAAGTAGATAGAAAATAAGTCAAGTTAGGTCGGTTAAGTTTTAACATAAAGTGTCCGGGTAAGGTGACATGTCTTTCTGAGGACATGTAGCAAGTTAAAAATTTCGCCTTTCCATGAAAAGTTCTTTAGAAATTGTTATCATTATTAGTAGGTCTTTTAACCTTTCCATGAAAAGCTTTTAGAAATTGCTCTAATTATTAGGTCTTTTCACTTTTGATTTTGGTCTGCTTATTTAAATAATTATTTTCTTCTTCTGTGTCTCTTTTTAGTGTGTGTGTGTGTGTGTGTGTTTGTGTGTGTGCTTTTGTGTGTGTGTGTGTGTGTGTGTGTGTTTTGGGGGGGAGGCGGTGTTGGTAAATTTTGCTTTCCAACATGTCGCGCGACAAGATATTTGATGAATGATATCGTATACCTAATGTGCTTTTGAATTAAAACCAGCTGAACCGAACACTTTTCGTTGTGTACCTAAGTATGTAGCTGATTGAATGCAATGAAAAACAAACAGTTATTTTACAATATAATAAAAAAGGTAACATTAATGTGCGTTCTCAAGTCATCAAATTAAGTTTGCAAATTTGATGTCTAACGTCCCTTTTACAAATATTCTATAATTGATTTTTTTTAAAATCAAGATTATTGCAATACAGCCTTATGCGTTGGAACCATTTTGTTTTGCATATGTACTACTTTCCAGTATGTTCTTTTTGACAACGCCGCATTTGGAGGTGTTACATCTTACAAAGTCTATTCAAATTATTTCGCAAAGAATTCCGCTCAAACCGGTGCTAGGGCAATATTTAACTTGTAGTCAAGCGAGCTTTTTTTTGGCTCCGTGTTGAAGCCATCACAATGACTGTAAATTTGATATGAAGAACAGCAATAAAAGCGCCGTTCCTTTGCTTTTTGGGTGTTTTTTTTTTTTGGCTGTACATGTACTTATTTTGTGTCATGGTTGGATACCCATATCCTTTGTATATATATATACAAGTCTAAATTGAAAACAACGTTCAAACCTGTGATTGCGTTGGATAAAAACTGCAATTTTTATACGTGTGCATGCGAAACAAATTTCTTGCATTAATTGGTAGAGGGGTCTAAATACAGCACAAACATTTTCCTAAAAACCAAAAAAAGTGAAAAAGTATATTTTAACAACACGCATTTTACTAGCAGGTCGAACAACTGATGTTCTTAAACCCTGTTGACTGCCATGGTGATTGCCAAAAAAACGGATCAGCAGATGTAACAAAATGGATCTTAATTATTAATTTAATACCAAACAGAAAACAATAAACTTGCGGAAAAGATGGTATACCGCAAACATGAGGTGCAAAAATTGGTAACTATATCCGGATTTCGACAATTAATGTCTCTTCAGTGATGTTAGGAATCGAAAGGGTATTTGGAAGGCCATATAATTTACCTCAATTTAGGATTGACTCTTGAATTTTGAAGAGTCGAAATAGGATGAACGGATTATATAAACCCGAAGGCAAATATAATACAAGCCCAAACGAAAAAATATAAACAAGTCTAAATTGAAAACAACGTTCAAACCTGTGATTGCGTTGGATAAAAACCGCAATTTTTATACGAGTGCATGCAAAACAAATTTCTTGGTAGTGGGGTCTAAATACAGCACAAACAACATTTTCCAAAAGACCAAAAAAGTGAAATAGTAAATTTTAACAACACGCATTTGACTAGCAGGTCGAACAACGGATGTTCTTAAACCCTGTTGACTGCCATGGCGATTGCCAAATAAACGGATCACCAGATGTAACAAAATGGATCTTAGTTATTAATTTAATACCAAACAGAAAACAATAAACTTACGGAAAAGATTGTATACCGCAAATATGAGGTGCAAAAATTGGTACACCATATCCGGACTACGACAATTAATGTCTCTTCAGTGATGTTAGGATATATATGTTATTTTTTTGGCCTGAGAACCTAATGATGGGTATGCTGATTTGTTTGCTAGCTCGGTACTTTGATATTGGCATGAAAACAAAAATAATGAAAATTTTCTGTTGTATATATAGATACATAAATACTCAAGAAGTATCCTTAAATATATCTATATAATGATTTTGTTTTTCTGTTGTGATGAGGACTGTTTGATACATTCTTCACTGTATAAACCGAAGACTTAAATTTTACAAATATTGCTAACTGGTTCATGTTCAGTTTGATTTGTATAATGAGTTTCCATGATTTCAGTCACAGAAGTAGGTGAAGCTTAATGCCATATTTTATAATTTGACACAAGAACTTCCATAGGTACCAATTGAGAATATTGCCGTTACTCCTCGTTTGTTATTGAGTATTTGTCCAGTTTGAATGTGGTGTTTCACTTTTGATTGATAATACTTTTGGTTGCCCCTCTAGATGTTATTCATTTTGCAAGGATTTAAAAAAGTTTAAGGGTGATAGAATGTTCAATGGTATACAAACAGAACATTATCTTTTCAAAAGACATATCATATGATATCAATTATCAAATAGGTCTTTTTGCGGTATGGGCTTTGCTCATTGTTGAAGCCGGACGGTGACCTATGGTTGTTAATTTCTGTGTCATTTGGTCTCTTGTGGAGAGTTGTCTCATTGGCAATCATACCACATCTCCTTTTTATCTTTAAACATAAATAAATCATTGATAGGAAATCTTCAAAGGTCAAGTAAACGAAAGAAATTAAAAAACACAATACTCTTTTAAATTGTGTGTTTTTTTTTAAATTTATTACGTACGGTCAACGTTTATTCTAATATCTCACAAAGAACAGCTCCTTTCAGAACAACAAGTTCTGGATTCTTTGAAATAATTATCCTATGAGCCGGATATCGTTCCTTCAGTGTATTTACAAACACGTGGTCTACATGGTCACCTGCTATAAATAAAATGCCGATTCCTAATGCTGACTGCTTTGCTAAAGTCTTTTCTACCATTTCAATAGTAAATTCTGTAGCATTTTCGTAAAACTTGTGGAACAACTCTGAACTTATCCTTATTTTATCATTCTGAAATGACACAGCGTTTCTGAATCTTGTTTGGTTTATTGAATTAGTCAGTGTGTCGCTGGTAAATTCTTTAAATGAATCGTACCATTTGGGAGGAACACGAATAGTTACTACTTTATCTGACTCGAAATATTTCAGTTTCTTTTCAAAATTATGTAGAAGTTCAGAATACTCCAATGGATGATAATCTCTTAAATACTTCAAAACGTCCCCTCCAAATAAGCGGGTTAAGAATCTTATAAACTCCTGTTTTGCACTTTCATTTGTATTGAAAATTGTCTCAAGGATATTTGTTTTCTTTTCATTTACTTCTACCACAGTCAAATTGTAAGCTACACTGAAATAAGAAGGAAGTGCTGAATGGTGTTCATTTCATATGTTTGCGCATTTATTTAATCGAGTTGTTACAACAGTGTTTAAACAATCGTTAGTTACTCTTATTTACAACCCCTCGAGTGCCAATAAGTGTGTACAAGTCTACATTTGTATTAATTTTGCCAGGGTAACTTAGTTCGTCTTTTTTGACAATCAAAATTCATCTACTCTGTATATTAATATCATAGAAGTAATACAGATTGGCTACGTTAGTCCCTGCGCAACACGACGGGTGTCACATGTGGAGCAGGATCTGCTTAACCTTCCTGAGCACCTGAGGTCACCCCCAGTTTTTGGTGGGGTTCGTGTTGTTCAGTCTTTTAGTTTTCTATGTTGTGTTCTGTGTACTATTGCTTGTCTGTTGATCTTTGTCTTTTTAGCCATGGCGTTGTCAGTTTATTTTCGACTTACGAGTTTGTCTGTCCCTTTGGTATCCTTTGCCTCTCTTAGTCCATAGCTATTATAAATAAAACAGTTATCACATATTTAGTAATATTTCTCAACTAGGTCTGTGTGCAAAAAAAGGTGAATATAAAGTTTTTTAACACAGCTTAGCAACATACCAACCTCCTAAATGTACTAATAAAGACCTGTAGAATTTTGTCAGTGGCGCTATCTGTTCTTCGCCAAATGTAGATGGCGAACTGTAAACGTTCGATTATACATTAACTCGGCTTCGGGTCCCTGTAGAAGAGTTAACTGATCATGTGTGATACCAGCCTGTAATATATATACATCGACTTTAAAAAATTCCATTGACATTTATTATTCAATTATACATACGAATTCCCGGAAGTTGTAACCAAATACATATCAGGAATCATATAGCAGTTTACGGGGAACTTGGTCTTACTCCACGACGTATTGACATTATTTGTTCAGTTATTAAATTTTTCTGTTGAATCAAAGACATACATGATTGTCATTTGTTAAGTCAAACTCTTACATATAGCATTGATATGCACCAGAATGGTAAACAAACATGCTATTGTTTCTACTTCAAAACAGCTGATTGTAGATATCAATTATTTCAATGTTCATGAGATTAAAGATGTTTTAATTAATCGTGTTCCTCCCAAATGTTACGTATGTATATGCACGTTTGGAACAATAATCTTTTACAGAATGCTACAGTGAAAAAGGGTAAATTGCGAACTGATTTATGTTAGGAAACTTGAAAGCACCCCCGCCCCCCAAAATGAGAATTCGTGCTAATAAATTTATTAGCTATTGAGCAGGAACGCTATAGAAAGATTGCCAAAGATAAAAGAATTTGTAAGTTTTGTTCTTTGAATACAATTGATGTTGAAATTCATTTTCAATAATTAAACAACTGCTATAGCATGTATAGTTAAATCTCTATTATCATACGCATTATCATTATTGGTTTCTTTTTTACTTATAATAAAATTAAGAATTGAAACGGAAAATGTGTCAAAGAAACAACAACCCGACTAAAAAGCATAAACAGCTCAAGGCCACCAATGGGTTTTTCAACACAGCGAGAAAATCCCGCAACCGGATGCGGGCTTCAACTCTGTTTGCAATACTTTTATATAACATGTCCTTCATGGACCGATAATGGGTTTAATAAAGTATTCGTAATCGTATAGGAAAGAAAGAGTTTCGGAACGGAATCGATTAATGTTCGGCGTTCTCTAAGTGAACTCACTTTTTATGTTAATGATTTTATCAATAATAAATATGATTGAAGTTCTGGAGAGCAGTTTCTTAAGGTGCGATCTTACTTGGGTTGATTATTAAATTTTAAGACAAAAACAAAAAACAGTGTTGGACAATACTATAAATAAGCGCTTGTAATATCTTAATCTTTACTGTATAAAACAAACTTTGATTTTTAATACATTCACTTGTGTTGCGGCGGTGTTCATCAGCTGGTTTGTGGAAGGTTCCAACTTTCCCGGTGTTGTTAACACCCACTGTATATCATTGTCGTTGTACCCTAATTGCTGTCTTGCTAATTCATTTATCATTTTGTCTTTCATTTGGTTAATAAAGCTAGATATCACATCGACCGCATTCATTGTAACATTATTTTGCCTGAAATCTTTAATCTTGAGATCTTCAATAGCTGTATCCTTTAACAAAATAGACAGAAAATACCAATGGAAAAGTTTAAAAAATCATAAGTTCATAAAGACACAACAACATGGCCAAAAATAAAAACGAAGAAAACACTAACAACAATAATACTGTTGTATGTCTTTTTGTCTTTTCTTTTTGCCATGGCGTTGTCAGTTTAATATTTTCGACATTTGAGTTTAGATGTTTCTTCTGTATTTTTCGCCTCTCTTTTATAAAATACACCACAGAAAACTAAAGATTAAGCATTATGAACCATATCAACAACCTGAGTTGAACCCGAAAGTTTGCATATGTGAACATATTAATCAATATCTGGGTAAATTATGTATATGTGGTACAGTTTAGTCTGTTTACCAGGCTTTAAATTGTTGGCCGTACACACTTTTTGATCTTAATCGTATCTGATCGTTGTTATTCCATAAATATATGTTGTGCACAGGGAAAACTTACAGCATTGTTTTATAATTATAAGATTACTACTGTACGATAATTCAGATATTTATGGGTTTATTGAAAATATTGTTACATGTTTACATGTTTATGTATTCTAAATTTATAAGTAGCTTACACCCCTCCCTCAATTTTTATGTACATGTTTCAGGTCAGGAACCTCGTCATTAGTTGTCGTATATCTTAATGTTTATTTTGCGTTATTTGAATAGGGAGGTGTTGATTTTTTCACTTCTTGTATAATAATGTATAAGCTTGAAACGATTTAATTCAAAACGGGTATTTTGTTGTTTATTTCCATCTCTCTATATTTTAATCATTTTTGTCGTTGTACAGCTGTTTCATTGGCATGAAACCAACATCTCCTTTTATTGATTTTGATAAAATTGACAATATTTCCTATGACAATACTATCAACTTTCGCATCAAGTTTGAACATACAGTTAAAAGGTCATTTTTCAGTAAGTTGTAGTGTTACTTTCGCAATGATTGCTTTTCCATCGACCATCATTCATTAACATATATAATTTCGGGGCTACCAACTTATTTGTCCTTTTTTGTGTTGATGTTTATTGTTCAGTGGCAAATATTTCATAAAATTGAGAATGGAAACGGGGAATGTGTCAAAGAGACAACAACCCGACCAAAGAGCATAAAACCGCCAAAGGCCGTCGATGGTTTTCAACACAGCAAGAAAATCCCTAACCCAGAGGCAGGTTTCAGTTGGTCCTTAAAAAATAATGTAAACTAGTTCAGCGAAAATGGACGTCACACTCCAAAACATATCAATGAAACAAAATTAAAAAAATAACATAAAAAACTAACAAAGATTAGATGTTCCTGGCTTGGAAGAGTCGCAAAAATGCAGCGGGGTTAAACATATTTTGTGAAATCCCAACACGGCCTCCCCTTTACCTCTAGCCAATGTGGAATAAGCAAACACACAGCAATACGCAAATTAAAACTCAGTTTAAAAGAAGTCTGAGTTCAATGTTAGAATAGGTAACAGAAGAAACAAAGCAATTGACAAAAATCAACAAAATATAACAAAGCACTACTAGCAGTTACTGACATGTCAGCTCCCGACAAGAACAAATTAACAATTAATACAACGAGTAGGTTCTGTGAGGTAGATACATCGAAATAAAAGAAATGGGGACTCCGAGAGCCATCGTTGATTAATAGGATATTTTGTTCTTAGTAAGAGGCTTCATATGGAAACTTACGCAACCTGCTGCAAGGCTTCTTTATCATGCATAAATCCAGGCACGCACAGTACACGAGTCATTGACTCTAAAGTCCTTATTTTAACCAAACGGAGCTAATTTATCACACGAAAGCAAAAGGGACGGCCCACGTAAGCAAGGATTTTATTACTTGATGAGTGATGTTCGGGGATTCAACATGTCTGAAGTCCAGTCAATTCTTGCATGCAATTCATTGAAGTATGATCACCTCGCGTATTGTTTAACACGAGTTCTTGTATCAAAGACGGTAACACTGGGATTTCAGTCATACACTTGTCATTTAGGAGTAGAGTTAAGAGTGGTGAGATCGCAGTGCAAATAGAGTGACATGAATCCTCACTACTTTTTCCATTTGAGCTAGCAGGCGGAAAATCTGACTCAGTTCTCGAACCAGTACAAAGTATTTATAACAGACGATTGTCATAAACGCCCAAATAACAATGCGACTAAACATCACACAGGCATTAATATATCCATTAAATGAATCACATAAAACTGAGAGAAGATCAGTTATGGAATAAATATCAACTCTTAATTCAGATGTTACCGTAGGTACTACGGCGATTTTATATTAGCTATGTAAATTTAAGATTGTACGCTTTCGTCAACTTTAATCGCAGAATGATACAATCATTCTGATATAATCAGAATGATTATAATGATAATTGTAGAATTTGGTTAGGAATTGAATTACAGATGGTTGGTTTACGTGTATGAAACACCTAGCATTACATTGAGAAAAAAAACGTATGAGGATCGCCATATTACCCAGTCTTCAAACTAAGGCAATGTCAATAACATACATTTATACGTCAAACTCAAAATCGCATTAAGTCGAAAAAGTTATAACAAAAAAATCTATAGATACTGTCTACCAAAGAAATAATCTATTTCCAAAAGAATATTTTTGTAGCTTTATTTTCAACCATACACTTACAGCTCTTTGCCATTCAGGATGCAATTTTTTAAACTAACATATAAAGATTTCATATTTACCTTGAGTTTGTAAAATTCCACCATGAAGTTTTTGAAAAAGAACCATTTTGCAGAATCTGATTCATTTTGATTTCTGCTGACATATTCCTCTGCTTCGTAACCAATGCTATGAATAGATTTATCCGGTCGGAACAAAATCGCCGTGGAGGTTTTAAAACTGACCACTCCATTGTCTCTTGCTTCCCAGTTGGGACAATATAGACCTTCTCCCTCTAAAGCATACTTTTTACCCAAACAAAAGACATATCCTGAATGGGTGTATCCAATTTCTATTGCAGCAATAACTTCTTTTTTTATTTGTTTAGTCTGTAAAAGGCGAAATAAAAAACAAGTTAAAAGTAATGTTTAGTTATTACACATAAAAGATTGTCTCAAGTTTTGGTTTTTAATTTGCTTAAATCAGTTGTGCTCATTAAATGAAATTAAAAAAAAAAGAAAGTAAAAACTGCAACAAAATACGAGAAAATATAAAGTTTTGGCTGATGGTTAGTTCCCTAAATTAATTTTTCTATCTAATGTCAATATTATAACCGTTCGAAATATAAGGAAAAGGAAAGCTTAAAGGTTATGGAAAATTATGTTTATTGCAGTTATGTAAGAGCAGTTTTTTTTTTTGTATTCCTGCTCTTGATCAAAGTATAGACAACTCGAATCTAGCGTACACTTTTCTTGTAAACGGCAGCTGCTCTTTTCGATCTAAACACATGTTGAAAGGAACAGGTGTTGGTGATGTTATCATTGCCGCTAGGGCTTGTTTTCCAGTCCAAAAAAATGTTTATCTCACTATGTCCCAAATTTAAAAACGTTAAATTCCCAGTCAGTGAATGTTCTCGTAATATTTCATACTAATATTTAGTCGTCTTTCGTGTTTTTGTCATCTAAAAGTGTATTCTTTATATGTTGACCCTAAAGTGGTTACATGTATCAATGATGATAGGATGCAAACATATCCGTTTTTAACCTCTAAGCTACTACTATACCGTCGGACAGCAAGAATTACGTTAATCAAATAAAGAGCAAATAGCATTGAGCAAAATTAGGAAGAGTTTTTCTATTTTGACGAGTAAAATTATACCTTCAAACTGCTTGTCTGTTGAGAAATGTGTTTAGTTGTAAATATCACTGACGGTTTTGGTGTAGTTATAGATCTTGCGCGGTCTTGCTGTGGTTTCTTCTGCAAAGACTAAATTAAACAAAGACAATCTTTAGTAATCAAAACTGATTTACTGTCCCAATTCAGCAGTCTGTTATTCAGTGCTTGTCGTTGGTTGCTGTCAGTTATTTTTGTTTTCGTTTATTGTTTTCTCTTAAATCAGCCTGTTCTTGTTTGTTTTTTTTTTTTCATTTAAATTTCCGACCTTTAATAGCAGACTATGCGGTGTTGGTTTTGCACATAGTTGAAGGCCGTACGGTGACCTTTAATTGATTGAATCAACGTCATTTGGACTTTGTTGGCTAGTTGTCTAATTGGCAATCATGTCATCTCTCCTTATTTTATATACTGAACAACTGAATCACCAACTGGTTTATACGATCTGTATTATACAGTTACCTTACATGTACCATGTTTTAGCAACTATTCAATAAATGCATTCGATTCTAAAAACAACGTCGTTCAGAGGGCTTCTTATGTACATGATGTACACGAATTGCAATTTACGTCAATCAAAGTGGGATCTTGTTTTCTTCTGAGAGATAAGAAAAAATTTACCTGCAGATTGCTTTTCTTTTCATGAAGATATTTGTTTGTAACTACCACTGACGGTTTTGGTTCGTTTCCTAATATTGTCCGGTCTTGCTGCTCCTGTTGGTGGTTCTGCTTCTGCAAATAAATAATGAAAACTGTAAAGGGTTTAGCGGACCCTGTGATTGTTGCTGTAAGTGTAAAAGTATATCGTTAAATGCTGAAAGCTTAGTCAATTTATTATTAAGAAACAAAATAAAAACCGTTCAACTTTTTCTTTACAAATGCATTTTTTATCATGAAAAAGCTTCTGTTCAAGTTGAGAAAATTCCACGAAAATTCGAAAAATGTTTTAAAATGTCTAACAATTGTCTAGCAAAATTTATCCACAGAACACAGACTGTATGTTAATGTTAACTGAAAGAAACTAGAGTCCAGCTATCTGTACAATACGGAAAAAAGAACGAAACATTTTTTTCACCTTTTGCTTCAGATGTTATTTATTTATTTGAATAATATATTTGTCCAAGTTTCACAAAATTCCATAGAGGAAACACTGTGTTATATTTGTTTTTTTTTTATTCTTTATATCGTCTTTTGATTATTAAAAAACTTCAGACAAAGTTTATAACAGTCCACTTATGTTTCACACAATTACTTATCTTAAACATATTTTAACTATAAATCTCAACTAAATGTTAATGACGCCGACAACGCCATCAACGAGGGAGTAGATAACAGTAGACTGGTTCCCTGTCCTTTATCCGTTTTGCTCTGACAACAAGGGTATCTGAGATACTCGTATGTTGCAAGGGAGAGGACCAGCCTATAGATAATCGCTGAGACATGCTTCCGCGACTTTCAACAAAGTCGAGACAAACACAAAATTACATAGAAGTCTTTATAGATATGAAGGGGTATACAACCACTCAGAAGTAGCAAAAACCCTATGTATAACGATCCATATCAGTTTTTTTGTTATGCATTTCAACCCATATGCCCACATGAAACTCGCCTTTCATCAAAAATATGGACCTTCACTTTTTAAATCATATGACAACACCTTGAGTACAAATATTGTGATATTGCAACGAATTAAACAAAAACAAAAAATCACAAAAAAATGAATTAAAAGTAACTTTGTGATTGGTGCCATCCGATTAAATTAACTCTGTGTTGTCGTACGGATAAGATGCGAGTTGAAACAAAATGCCGATACCTCTTGTGTGGTGTTCGTCAACATTGGATGTGTGAATCTTCAACAAAGGTAATCAGCAATCGTATTGTAAAATGATATCGTCAAAATAAATCAACCAGGTTAAATAGGCTTTCTTTTTTCATTTAAGAAACATCAATAGTTTTAATAACTAAGGCACGTTAGTGCATTCTTGTATGGATTACCGTTGTTCAGGTATGATTAGGTTTTAATTTATACGATCTTGGAAAAAAGATGATGCGGGATAGGAACAGGTGGCCCAACATTCATACGAATATATTAAAACTACATGTACTTACTGCTGGTTTCGTCACATTTGGTACTTTTTGTTGGTCTTTTTCCAATTTTTTGTTTTCTTTATCAGTATTTTTCTAAAAATATGTTGTATATGACAACTTCAGTGTTTGATATTCAAATGCAATTTTTAAATGATAAATATTAATAATTCAAATTCTTCAGTGAGTATAAAATGATAGCAGACAAAGTGAAAATCCTTGTAAGCAGATTACGTGATCACTATAACTACTAAATGTGCAACCAGCAGTCGTTGATAGCATATAATGCGACTCTTTGACACATAAGAATACATAATAAAAAGTTTAATCAGGTACATCGTGTTTTAAGATTACACATGTACAAATCTCAGAAGAAAGTCAGGACAAGGCATAAAAATTGAAAGAGATATGCAACATGTTGTACCCCAATCTAAGAGCGGGGTTATACTGCACTCAGTTCGTCCGTTTGCAATCGTTCGTCAGAGATGAATTGGCTATATACAAGCATTTTTTTAGCCTATTAGGACCAACATTTCAGTTGGCCAATACTTTTATTTTTTTCAAAAGAAAGGCCGAGAAAACCCAAGGGACATGTAACTCACAAGTTTAGGACAAACTGACAACCCATAAAAAAACCCGAAAAACTACGAAAAGAAAAAAAAAACAGTCTACAAAAGACAAAATATTGAATGGACGTTTTTGTCGTGGTTTGTTTTAGTCACGCTTTTCTGACGTACTTCTTAGCAGAATAACTTCACATTTAGTTAACAACTGATCAGTCAGGATCCTGCTTCTTGATTTCCGATACTTTGGATTACGAGTCTGGGTAAGATTAGCCCAGGCCACAACGCGTGCACTTATGTTTAATTTAAAATTTGCATTGTACCAGATAAAACAAGAAATGATTGTAACAGGATGCTGTTACGAAGTCTCCCAAACGAAGCTCCCATAATTCGTAATTCCCATGGTCGCCTGAAATTGGGCAAAGTCCAATGAAAATTGGTTTGGTCCAGTAAAGTTATATGCATTAGTGATGCCTGGGGACTAACCCTGTATATCATTCAAATCACCTTGGCATGACAAACCAGAATATATATGGTTTAGGGGTGGGGATCTCGACCATTTACAAGATATTAGAACTTTCTCAAATGGCATGGGGTGGGGGTGACCCCTGGGGACTAACCCTGTATTTCATTTGATGTGCTTTATCATGACAAACCAGAATATATATGGTTTAGGGGTGGGGATCTCGATCATTTACAAGATATTAGAACTTTCTCAAATGGCAGGGGGTCGGGATGACCCCTGGGGACTAACCCTGTATATCATTCAAACCATCTTAGCATGACAAACCAGAATATATATGGTTTAGGGGTGGGGATCTTGACCACTTACAAGATATTAGAACTTTTTTAAATGGCATAGGGTGGGGGTGACCCCTGGGGACTAACCCTGTATTTCATTTGATGTGCTTTATCATGACAAACCAGAATATATATGGTTTAGGGGTGGGGATCTCGACCATTTACAAGATATTAGAACTTTCTCAAATGGCAGGGGGTCGGGATGACCCCTGGGGACTAACCCTGTATATCATTCAAACCATCTTAGCATGACAAACCAAAATATATATGGTTTAGGGGTGGGGATCTTGACCACTTACAAGATATTAGAACTTTTTTAAATGGCAGGGGGTGGGGGTGACCCCTGGGGACTAACCCTGTATTTCATTTAATGGGCTTTATCATTTGGAACATTTTCAATTAAAAAGATTGTGTTTATCACAAACGGTTTTCAATTTATAATCATTTGAAAATTTTTAAAAATAAAATCCCATAGGGTTCTATAGTAAAACCCTCTTTTCTTTTTGCCCCTCAAAGTACCCCATTATAAACCCCATTGCACAAACAAAACCCTGATTGCACCACTAGACATGTTAGTCTAACATATTGTGAAACCCTAAGTTAATCTGACAAGCGGTTTTGGAGAACGGGTGCGGACAAGTTCAAATTTAAAAGTGGCGGAAGAAGAAGAAGAAGAAGAAGAAGAAGAAGAAGAAGAAGAAGAAGAAGAAGAAGAAGAAGAAGAAGAATAATAAGAACTGAGCAAACACAATAAGTCTTCCCAAACTTCGTTTGGGAGACTTAATTAAACAAGGAATCCCTGATAAACCAAGTTATTAATACTGTACCAAGTGAACTATGTAGAGTGATGGGTAACAATTGTAATTTTGGTACTAAATAAAATTCTTTGCTGATGTTATTTCATCTTTATTGTATTTCACGTTATTTAGTTTATACTGTGTTAACAGTTTTGTCAAGGTGTTTGTTGAAATTGACATAAAAGACTTTTTATTGTAATGGTGTAGATTTCCTGTTGTTTCTTTATCTTTTTTTTTTCGTTTTTTTCACGAATGAGTGGAAAAGCGTCTCTATGCATTTGAATACACATTTGAATTTAACAGACGTTGTTCTAAAGAATATGATCTTCTATGCATCTCCTCTTTAAAGTACGACTTATCAGATTGCTTGATTGTTGGTTGTTTAACGTCAAGTGTTGTACCTATCAGCAAATGATATACAAATAACATAGAATATAAATTAAAAAAAAGTCGTTAATGCCTTACTGATATTGAACTTCCCATTATATGTTAATGCTCCTGCTGCTTTTTATCAAGTATACTTTTCTAAACTGATTGTTTTCATTCTCCATGCTGGTTTTGAATAAGCTGCATCCATATCTGCAAATGAAACAAAAATGCACAAATATATGTCTTGATAATGAGTAGGTTAGAATATCTTCAACACAATATTTCTTTCTTGCAATGCTTGATGGATTTATTTGATGAATATATTAGAAGATAAATAACATTGGCAAGTTGTTTTTTTAGATTTTGGCCAACGTGAATAAAGACAAACACCATTTAATCGATGAAAATAATACTGTTTAATATAGCAACAAGAATACTTAATATCACAAAGTGAGTAAATCTGCGCACATAATGTACCATAACTCAATTCTCTTATTAGTAATCTGTATCTGCATTGTGTACACCCTCAAATTCATTTCAACCAATGGCTTGAGTGGAATTAGGTAAGACCCTGTTAAGAATTACTTATGTTTTGTAAGTATTGATGACGTAATGTATAACAAATTTTGATAGAAAGAGTAGTTCTGTACACATGCAGTTCTTCGGTACTGGCATGATTTATAACGTTCTTCGATGATAAATTTAGAATGTACATTTGTTTTTAACAAGTAAGATTCGAAAGCAAATTTGACCTCGCATGGATTTGGCATTAATAATAAACGATTTTTTCTTTATAGGAGATAAATCGAGAAACGCGAGAAAAGGTATCCATCCCGTGAACGCAACGCAATTTGAACTTAACGAAAAAGTGTAACAAAAATACCGAACTCCAAGGTATTTACCCTTTAAAAAAATCTTGCACAAGACAGGATGAAAAAAAATTTCTGCAAATAAAACTTAGGAAATAAATGTGTAGAAAAGTCAGAATTAATGATAAAACTGGCGACAGGTGAAAATGAATATCCAGTCTGCGAAATATCATCTTGTCTACATAACCGAAATTATCATATGGTCCTGCCCTAACTCAAAAGCATACACAAATAGGAAACATGATAAATGTGTAATACATAGACAAGAGCTGCATAAACAGCTTGTACGATTTTTTTCCATAACGAATTGTACAAATGTAAATTTGATAATTGCGTTCAGTTGGGATTAGTTTTAATCTCTCTCAAAATCAGTCAGAAACTGTCAGGAGAACTGTTCAAGAAAAGATCCTAGAAACATTATCATCGCACCTTTAGAACAGTTTCAGACAGAAGCGGTTTTACTCTAGAACAGTTTGTAAAGTTTAAATCTAGAACCGTTTAGGACAGTTCTCTCCTAGAACTAATACTGACGGTTCTATATAGTACAGATCCAAACAGTTATATATGAAAAAAATAGTTATGGGCAACTCTTTCTATTATTATTCTTTTATTCTATTTTATTAACCTTATTAATCTAATTTACTCCTTTTCTTTATTTTCTTTATTAATTTCTTTATTAATGTATTTTTTTTTTTAATTTAATTAAAAAGAAATTATTCTAGGGTATTGTTATTACTTTTCACGAGTAATCATTAGTATTGTTCTTTTTTGTAAATGGTCACTTTATTTTTTTAAATGTCTGGTATGAGTTGTTTTACTTTAACGAACACTCAGTAGTTATTTTAGCGGGTGCCACAATTTTATTGATACTAGATCGCGTATGTATCATTACATAAGATCGTACAATATCATGTAAACTCGAGTTGGCCCCCTGCCCCCTCCACCCTGCCTTAGAAAGTGGTATATTCACTGTGTAATCTAAATAGTTTACCTGTGTTTGACCTGAGTAATTATCTGTATAAATGGAATATATTACTAGACATATAAGAATGCTTGATACTAATTTCGAGACTAGTATATCATGTATATTAAAAGTATATTTCTTCACTAAAAAAAAAAACAAATAAATTATCATAATCATAAATACATAATTAAAACATACATCAAAACTTATTTTAATTGGTTAATAATATGGATTACATGGAAAATCCAGCTAATTGCCCTAGTTCTAAATTACAAAAAGAGAGCTGCTATAATTTCCGTTATTTAGAGATGTTTCATCTTAGAACAGATACCGACAGTTGTACACTAGAAGAGAGTTCGGCAGTTTAACTTAGACCTGAATCTGAGAATTATACCTTATAATTAATACTGACCTAAAACAGTTTTGGATAGTTATACCATAAAAACTGATTCAGACATTTCTAGCCCAGAACATTTAAGACCATTTTCTCTGACAAAATACTCTGACAGTTCTAAAGAAAGTTTACTATACAAACAAATATCATTGATCTTACCTTACTATCAAATCCACTTTCGTTTTAATGTGTTGTGTTTGTGTACATGTCTCGTTATATTTATTGATTTAAATCCTACCATCAAGAATTCGTAATCAATATAAATTACACACAATATTCAACGGTTTTACCTGCCCATTATGTGTGTGCAGTCAATACGAATTTCATTCAAATTTTTAGCTTTTCATACATGTTTAAAAGGCTTGTCCGACTAGTTCATTGTTTTGTCAAACATTTAACTCGAATATCAATTAACTTTTGGCACTGTGATTAGGTTCAACAAAACAAATTTTTAATTGGTTTCAAAAAATTATCAACAAGAAATAATAATCTCTGTAGACAGTTAATTTGTTTTCTAACTGCCTTATTTGTAAATCATCTGCAGGAAATATAGAAATAACTCACAGCTGTTATGGTAGAATTTTGATCTTATTTGAAAATGTGAGCACATCCTCTCATCACAGCACAGCCTCTCGTCAAAGACAACCCAAAAAACGACAATAAAAATGAAAAAAAAAACCAAGTGGGTGTCTTGAATTAGACCCAAAGAAAGACATAGAATATTATAACCATAAAAGAAAAAAACAAATAAACAAAAAAACAAACAACATTCACAAAAAAACTACATCGGGAAATGAGCAAATTTATTACTGCGAAACGTTTGAACTCTGGTGCTATGGAAGGATAAGCTGTTCCTTGATTACTAATAGTACCTCACTTGTTGCTTATGATCTGCAAACATATTGTAATAAGTCGAATTAAATGAAAGAAATAAAAGAGGAAAGTTGGAAGATACCACGGACAAATGAAACATCATCAAAATGTGTTGTTCTTAGGATTTCATCCTTTCAAAAAGTCTCGTTAATTCTGAAACTTCAATCCAGTATGATTTATTTACTTTCGTGGTGAATTGTTCTCTCTCTATTTTATTCAAAGTTCATTTGCTTTCTTTAATAGTCGGAATTATATAAAAATTTCATTTAGCGTTTGTTAATTTTTTCGAAGTAAACCTTTTTAATCTCTGTCTGAAATGTCTTTTAAAAAAATAAGCCGAAATTCAATAGAAAATGACATATTTGTATAGATACGATAAAAAACACAATTGTGATAATTAACGACCTTTGCATAAAGTGGTTCGGTCCCCTTCCCCACCCTCTTTTCCCCTTGAAGTATGTCAAGGCTAATTCCCTGTTCAAAAAATATCAAAGAAAGTCTTTCCGATGTCTAATTTGTAATTTTGTTGCCTTGTTTGTAAACATCCTGTTTTCTTTAATCTTCCCTTCTTTTTAACCATATTTCTTACTTAGCCGTTCAAACAAGCCACGGAGTTTGTAAGTATAGATGGTAGGGGTAAATGTTTCATGCAAGATATCAACCGCTCATAATGAGTTATTTAAAGTGCTTTTTCCAGGTTCAGATACCAAGGGAATTAAATTTAAGATCGTAACTTGACTTTGCTGCGTCTTATGATTTACAATTAACACCAATTGGGCCTCCCTGATGGACCGGGTTTTCGGTGATTTTTTTTTTGTGTAACAAGTCTAGGTTATTTAAAATAAACTGACATAAACCGACTAAATCAAACACCACTTATTCAATGCAATGTTATTGTAAGATAAACCAGCAAAGAATATTGAAAACTTATAAATTATACCAATCAGCACATTGAATTTACTAATGATGAGTATTAAATGATAGGTTCATACCCAAATTACATATAATAGACCTACATATCTTAGAAAAAAAAATGTTAAATAAGTACAGACAAAGAACAAGTTTAAGACTGCATTGTCAGCTTACAGGTGATGAGTATTTGTGTACTACAGGTTGCAAATCAGAAATTAATTAATTCTTTGCCATTGCAAATACAATACACCGTTTAATCAATTCACATAATTTTTATGTAGTATAAGATTCATGTGGAACATTTACAGATACAAATGTATATTTAAATTATCAGGAGTATTAGACCTAAGGGCCCACATAATGAGTGAAACATTCCAATGTCTACCAAGCATACATTTACTTCCATAGTTATAGGTGTAACTATCAGGTATACAAGAAACAGTTGCGACGTAGACCTTTAAAACACATTACGCTCCTAGAACGAAAATAATGAGTATATCAAAAGTAAAGGGTCATTGAACCCATTTATAGAATAAAAAAGAAGATAAATATAAACTCTTCTAAACTAACAGACAAAGAATCGTGAAATACCAACAAAAATTAGATAACATGCAAAATGCCAAACTCGTCATTAAAGGGCAATAACTTTAATAAGGAATCGCATAACGGTTATGGTGATGCTGACTTATTTGTAGATCGTGTCTTGCTGATAATTTTATTTTTCTATTTAAAGATTTTATCCATCTGTAATTATAGTTTTCAAGATAATAGGCAAAAATGCCCATGAAATGGGGAAAATCGTCTTTAAAGTGCAATTACTTTAATAAGGTGTCGAAACACGATTTCGGTCATGTTTGACTTATTTGTACCTCTTGTCTTGCTGATCATTTTTAATGTTTTAAGTTTTTATCAATTATTATTTTTGGAGATAATACGCAAATAAGAGGAAAAAGGTAAAATGTGTCGTTATAGGGCAATAACTCCTATAAGAAGTCGTCTGACAGTTTAAATGGCAAAAGTCATCAGGTAGTCTACGATTTGCATTGTACCCCCATTGTTCTATTTTATCCATATCGGCCATGTTTGTGGGCAAGCAAGGTCAACGGACACACTTTTTTAAACTAGATACCACTGTGATGATTGTGACCAAGTTTGGTTAAATTTGGCCGAGCAGTTTTATCTTTCAAATATTCGACTTTGAGCATTCTTGTTGAAGGTAAATCCAGAAAAGCGCTTCGGACGCATGGAATTTATAACATGGTGTTTTCATTTCTTAAAGCACTGGGTCGATACCTCTGCTGATGGACTTTCAGTCCCCGAGGGTATCATCAGCTCAGTAATCAGTATTTCAGTACTGACAAGATTTGTTACAAACCTTTCTAAAATTGTCCGTTTTATAAACTTTGAAATCATGAAGAAACTAAGGTTTCAACTACCTCAGGCAAAGTTTGAAGGCTTTGGCTATTATTTGAGGTCCCTTTTGATTATATAGCTCTTCAACTGTTTCGGTTCTTACACATCCTTGGCTTTTCAAATATTCTGCTTTGAGCGTTCCTGATGAGGTGAATCCAGAAAAGCGCTTCGGACGCATGGAAATTTATCTTGTTGTTTTTAATTTTTTACAGCACTGGGTCGATACCTCTGCTGGTGGACTATCAGTCCCTGGGGGTATCATCAGCTCAGTAGTCAGTATTTCGTTACTGAAAAAGATTTATAACAAACCTTTCTAAAATTGTTCGTTTTATAAATTTTGAAGTTGATAAGAAACTAAGGTTTCAACTCCCTCATGCAAAGTTGACCTTAGAATGTTAGAAGGATTTGGCTATTATTTTAGGTCCTTTTTGATTATATAGCTCTTCAACTGTTTCGGTTCTTACACATCATTGGCTTTCAAATATTTGCCTTTGAGCGTTCCTGGTGAAGGTTAATCCTGAAAAGCGCCTCGGACGCAAAGATTTTTTTAACTTGTTTATTTTTTTTACAGCACTGGGTCGATACCTCTGCTGGTGGACTATCAGTCCCTGAGGGTATCATTAGCTCAGTAGTCAGTATTTCGGTACTTAAAAGATTTATAACAAACCTTTCTAAAATTGTCCGTTTTATAAATTTTGAAATTATTAAGAAACTAAGGTTTCAACTCCCTCAGGCAAAGTTGGCCTTAGAAGGATTTGGCTGTTATTTTTATGTCCTTTTTGAATATATAGCTCTTTAACCGTTTCGGTTCTTACACATCCTTGGCTTTCAAAAATTCGGCTTTTAGCGTTCCTGATGAAGTTAAATCCAGAAATGCGCTTCGGACGCATGGAATTTATAACGTGTTGTTTTAATTTTTTTCATAGACGACGATTTTGTAAAAAGTAAAATCACAAAAATACTGAACTCCGAGGAAAATTCAATCGGAAAGTCCCTAATCACATGGCAAAATCAAATGACAAAACACATCAAACGAATGGACAACAACTGTCATATTCCTGACTTGGTACAGGCATTTTCAAATGTAGAAAATGGTGGATTGAACCTGGTTTTATAGCGCTAAACCTCTCACTTGTACGACAGTCTTATCAAATTCCGTTATATTTACAACGATGCGTGAACAAAACAGACATTATAAATAAAATAGTCAAAATATGGGTACAGCAGTCAAAGTTAAAGTTAACGGACGACAGACGACGGACGCCAAGTGATCTAAAATGGAAAATACTACAAAAAGATCCAGAATAAAAACAAAATTGTAGTATTATTGCATACAAGCGTCATAAATATTTAATAATTCTTCACCGATTTATATTGTCTCCGACCGGTCGATTATTTTCTTCAAAATCATCATGTGGGTCGTTTGATCTCAATTCTTCATTGGTCAAAATTCAATGATGACATCAAATATTCTTGCTTTCCTTTGACAATGCTCAATGATGCTATTGTGGTGTCATGAAAAAGTTGACCATACATGTTGACCGAATAAGAAAAGAACACATCTTTTTTGCAAACATTGAAAAAGAAAGATAAAATATCGTCCACAAAAAGTTAGAAAAACAGATTCCACCACCAAATTTCGTGCAATACGACACTTCTCCACTGTAGACAAATAAAGGGGTATTAGTTAAAATGAGACAACAATAAAAAATACGATTATGTTTTTTTCAAGTATTAATAAATGCAGAATTTTGAAATGATATTTCGTTGAAAGCATTTAGTTTGGCCCAACTTGGTCAAAAGAAGCCCAAAGACATCACAGATGTGTTATTGACTTGCAAGTCAATAATTTAACCTCATTGAATCCATATTCATGTAACCGTCAATTTAACCCCTTAGCAGGAGCTAGTTCACGCATGAACTAGGAGTGTTCAGTTATTAAAAGGAAATGTTTTAGTATTTTATAATTCAAATATGAACATTTGAGCCAAATCGGTGAAAATGAATTTGACAGCAAATGCCCTTTTAATTTTAAATATTTAAGAACTTCTACTGTTGTAGAACTTCTGTGAAAGTTATATCTACGATTAGTAATAAGAC